CTATCTGTTCTGTAAGCCTTCACCTGAAGTACAATAAAATATTAAAAAAAAAAAAAAAAGAAACCCAGAGATGGAGGATAGCTTTGGTTCCTGATTTTCCAGTTCCTGGTGTCTACCTCTTGTAAGATCCAATTTTACCTCCTGCCCTTAGAGACTACAGTATAAGTTACTCTTTTCAGTAAACTGCCTTGTTTGAGTGAGTTTCTGTTCTTTACAATTAAACAACCTGAGACTAAGATAGCTTGTTGTTAGGTGCCATCCTGTAATCTTCTAGACCAATTCTAAATATTACACTTCATACGTGACTTTCTGATCATGTTCAGCCCTATTTCCATTTGCTGGGAGAAAAGTTAAATCCCTCCAATCAAAAAGGAATCACTCAATATCCCCTGAAGTCTTCTTAAAACCAAACAATAGTTTAGCTTAACTAATAAAGAATGTCTGCCTTGATCACCGTGCTCTTTTAAGATCTATCCATATGGGACTGAATTGACAGCAACATGAAAGATTAGATTGGGAATTTAGGAGGCAGTTAATGGGGAAGGAACAACTTGGAAAAGGAAGGTGAGAATGATTTCACAACTTGAAGAATGTAATCAATGTCACTGAATGGTACGTGCAGAAATTTTTGAATTGGTGTATGTTCTGTGTATATTCTCAACAACAAAAATAAAATGAATTATAAAAAATAAGGAATCACTCTTCTTATCATATGCAAGAAACTATGGCTGAATTATTTCCTTGATTTTTGTGGTGGGGCAAACTAGCTCATATCTCTGTGTGTATGTGTGTGTTTTCCCCAATCCATAGTCACATATTCCACTCCTTTCTCCTTATTGGTGGAGAACAGTAGTAATAAAAATAACAGTAATACAATAAAAATGGAAAATACTTGTATAATGTTAAAGGATTTTCATATTTGATCCTGCTTGCCCAGCACTGGAGCCCTGATGGACAGTGGTTAAGAGCTCGACTGCTAACAAAAAGGTCGGTGGTTCAAATCCACCAGCAGCTCCTTGGAAACCCTATGGGGGCAGTTCTGCTCTGTCGTATAGGGTCGCTGTGAGTCAGAATCGGCTCCACGACAAGATGGCAAAGGGTTTTGCCCAGCACTATGTCTGTGCCCATGCATGAACGTGCCCTTTAAAGAAAACAGCAAATAGGAGAGAGGAAGAGAATTAGTGCTATAATTATAAACGTGGATCTGCATTCACCTTGGGAATAGTTCCAATTACCAGGTATTAAATACGATTTTTAAAATACAAATTCTTATCTGCCTTTGTTGAACGAGAGTTGGGTTGTGACCCTTGGGGACCCACATGACCAGGGGGCAAATCATTCGATCGCTGCGCCAAAATTTCCCCCATTTAAAAAGAAGTTTGCCCAGAGTAGGGCTCTGTAAATATGTGTAAACTGAACCAACCTATTTCTGAGCTGTTCCTGGGATATAAATGGTCAACAGTGACCGGTACACCGTATGATATTTACCTGCAGCTGAGGGGATCAGGCACCTTCCCTATCTCCCTTGATGGCCCGATGCGGCAGCTCTTGACCACTCTCTTCCGCCCCAGTCCCCTTGCGGAGAAGCGGCTGTTCACCTAGACGCTCGAGCCCCGCCTCCGCAGCGTCTCCTGGGCTTCGGCGGGTGGCGGCGGGGCGGGGCCCGCCACGTGGAGTGCGGACCAGATTCTCAGAAGGCGCCTACGCCGTTGCCGCGGCGCAGCTCAAGGGTGGCCCTTAGCCCTACGTCAGCAGCGGAACTGCGGCCTGGCTTACTCCAACACTGCTGATGTAACATCCATCTTGCGGAACGTGGACGGAAGAAAAAGAAGCTTAAGCGGGCGCCGAGAATCGGCCGGCGTGGCATGCGGGGCGGGCTGCGGGGCCGGGAGGCGGCAGTGGCTTAGCAAGGGGCGCGGCGGTGACAGCGGCGGCTGTGAGGTAGGTACGCGGCGAGAGGCAGGGAAGGCTGGCGCCGGCGCCCCAGAGAGGGCTGAGACGGAGCCCGGGGTCGAGGCGGGAGGGGTGCGAGCGGCCGCTTGGGCCGGGAGGGGGCTGCGGGGACGCGGCGCGAGCAGGTGCCAGGCCTCCCGGGTGTCGGGTCCTGCCGGTGAGTGTGGGATGGACCGGGGGACGGGGCCAAGGGATGGCGGCTGGAGCGTCCAGGGCTCGCTGCAGGGCCGTAGCGCGGTCCCATATGCCCTCTCTCCGAGGCCCAGAGGTCTTCGGGTGGCTCAAGCACCCAACTTCCCGGGCTACCCTTGGACACACCGAAATGGAGGAACCTCTGCGGGCCTTTTCTCGGTCTGGGAGTCCGAAGCAGCTTCCAGTGCACTTGCATTGGTGGTGCTGTTATACCCAGACTTTTGTAGCTGGCCACTCTATGGGGCCTGTGTGCTCAGTTCCCCGCGATCCGCCTGTTCATTCGTGATACTGTTACCAGAGCCAGGCTCCCCGCACAACCGGGGGATTGGCTCACGACCACATTTTGCGGTATGGAATACAGTTTGTGATAGTTCCTTCCTGGCACATCCGGGCGCACCCAAGTTCCCCCTCCCGCGTCGTGTCCCTTGCTCTCTGAGGTGGTGAGATTTATCATCGGTGCTTTGTCTTTACCTTTATTAAGTGGAGAGCCATATACTGAACATGTGTTTTCTGCGTGCACTTTGTTGGGACTGAAGGTCAGTTTTCTGCCTACATCAGTGAGATAAGGGCTTTCTGTTTAGAACATTCAAAGAGGTAGATGAGAAATGTCCTGAGCCAAAACATGGAAACTTTTTTCAACTGCTGGCATTGAGTCTAGACACACACATACACACACCCTTTACTCCCTGGAATCAGCTGTCTGCTCTTTGAGGGCATAATAAACTCCGGCAAGATGAACTATCCATTGCAGTGAAGGAGTGGACTTAACGTGGCTGGCTATGGTGTGTTACAGGGGCGAAGCCAGGAGGCCTGGTTTCTAGGTCAGTCATCACTCCCTAACTTAGTCACCTCAGACAATTCAGAGCTTTCAGTTACTCCCTTGTCTAGAGAAGGATTAACAGTCAATAAACATAACTTGCAATTATATCTGTCAGTGAATGTTTATTGAGTTCTTAGTACCTGTGACAGATCCTGAAGGAAGTAAAAAAAGAAAAGATTGTAAGACATCATTAGAAACTAAAAGACAGAAGGAGGAAAAGTGGCATTTATTGAGCACCTGTTGTACCCAGACACTTTCTATGCAGTTGTTGTTTTTAGGTGCCATTGAGTCCATTTCGACTAAGAGCAACCCAGTGTGGCAGAGTAGAACTGCCCCGTAGTTTTCTTGGCTGTGGTCTTTATGGAACCGCATCACCGGGTCTTTCTCCCAAGAAGCCGCCGGATGAGTTTGAACTGCCAACTTTTGGTTAGCAGCTGAGCACTTACCCGTTTGTGCCACCAGGGTTCCTTTCTGTGCAGTATCTTGTTTAATTCTCACAACAATCCCATGAGGTCCTTACTGTTATTATCCCTGATTTCCTAGTGAGGAAACGGAGCCTTAGAAAGATGAAGTAACCTGCCTGAAGGCATGCACATAGCAAGTGTAGAGCCCGAACCCAAATTAGTCCAACTCCGAAGTCCATGTTCCCTGTCTCTTACTGTCAGTGGGAAGTTTATAATCCAGCAGTAACACATGAACCAGTTAAAAGCTAACATGTAGGATTATGTCCAATTTTGAAGGCTAAAGTTGCTGGGGAAGGTTTCTTGAAGGAGATGGAATTAGAATTTTAGTGTCACTATTTGATTATTTTACCTTTTGGACTCTTCTGTAGCTGTTTCGGGGAATTCACATGCAATCAATTGTTTAGCAACAATTATTGAAGGAATTTATATAAGCAGCGAACAGACCATGGGCTCATATCCTGTTTCAGTGTTAGGCAGATAATTTTCTCTTGGGATCTTCCAGAGGGTCATAAACACTGAAGTCAACAAAGATAGCTCTTAACCTTTTCTATTGCTTATTAGATATCATATCTTTTACAACAGATGTATCCTCCCAATCTCTTCTCTCCAGGTCTGCACCTTTGTGCAGTGTAAAATGTAGAGCAATATACACTACTCTTTATTTCTCTTCCTGTAAGGCTAAATGCTAGTCTTTTGAGACACCTTTTTAAGAGGATTGGAATATATCAACCAATACATAGAGCAGAAGTTAAAGGGGTGGGGGGGAAGGCGCAAGCAAAGAAGATACAGTATTTTTCTTATCTTGTGAAAACAGCAATGGCCCTGTAGCATAATAAGAGCTGCAGTGATAATGGCTTATCCTCTGTGTATGTAGAGAAAGGTGTCCCCTACTTTTTTTGTGAAATGAACTATCCCTTCTCTAAAGCCTCAAGTTTGACCCACGATGAAAAAAATGCCCATAATCACCATCTTCTCTGAGGTTTCTAGCCACGTGTTCATCTTCCATAGGACATGCCCACAGTCATTTAAAATGTCAGCGTTTTGCAGGTATCTCCACCCCGCCACCCCCAGCGACTCAAGACTGTGCTTTAGATTCTGTGGGCATCAGGAAGAAAGACAAAGCAGCAGCCTCTGGCCTTTCCTCTTTCTTGTAGCTCGGAAGGATCAAACTGACATTTCACATATGTGGGTTACAGGATTCTTTGAGGAGGTGATCGCAGGAAGGTGGAAATGACTGCTGGATCTGTTACTGGAGCTCCTCTAACGGTATAGGAATTGTAGTTAGAATTTAGTGTCAATACGTAAACATTGGACCTTAAAGATTTCTTTGTCACTCAGAATATTCATAGCCCTTAATTGTTATTTGCTTACATATAAGGAGGTCCTAGGAAAGGAGAGAAGTCCCTGGGTGGTACAAATGGTCAAGTGCTGGACTACTAACCAAAAGGTTGGCATTTCACACCCACCCAGAGGCGCCTTGGAATTAAGTCCTGGTGATCCGGTTCTGAAAGGTCACAGCCTTGGAAATGCTATGGAGCAGTTCTCCTCTGCACAGATGGGGTCACCATGAGTCAGAATCAATTCGACAGCAAATAACAATAGTAGCAAAGGAAGCGCTAGGACTGGAGCCTGGGATGAAGCCCTTTGTTCTTTCTGTCTTTTATCTAATACAGAGGAGGTGACTGTTTCTATAAACGGAGTTTGGAGCAGAAAAGACAAGATTTTATTCTGAGAGTATGCAGAAGTGAAGGAAAAGAAAATAATTTATTATTTTATTATTATTATTATTTTAATGTATTCTGCAGATACTTTGATCAGTCATCACATCTCAGGATGTTGAGTCAAGTTTACCGTTCTGGGTTCCAAACCTTCAACCAGCATCTCCTGCCCTGGGTCCGATCCACAGCTGTCTCCAGATCTCGTATGTACCATAGGAAACTAATAAGCATGTGCAATGTTTGGTAGTCAAAGTATATTTCCAACAAGATTTTAAAGGAGGAAAAAAATGTACTTTGGTAGAATTGGACACAGTCAATTAGCAAGGAGGCAGCTTATTGGTGAACTATTCCAAGTATTTATATTTGTCAATAAAGCATTACCTATATTCATTCTCCAAAAATTTTTACCGGCTTTTTTTTGTTCATTGCTTTTTCTTTATACTTAAGCTTTTTATTTTGAGATAATTATAGATTCACTTGCTATCATAAGAAATAATACAGAGAGATCCCTTATACCTTTTATCCAGCTTTCCTCAATGGTAACATCTTGCAAAAGTCTAGTACAATATCACAACAATCAATATTGGCATGGATACAGTTAAGATATAAACATTTTTATCACTACAGGATCTTTCACATTGCCCTTTTACAGCCAAACTCATCGCCATCCCTCACGCTTGGCAACCACTAATCTGTTCTCCATTTTTATTTTGTCATTTCAAGAATGTTGTCTAAATGGAATCATACAGTACGTAACTGTGGATATATAACTCAACATAATTCTCTGGAGATTTATCCAGGTTGTTGTGTCAGTAGCTCATTCCTTTTTATTACGAAGTATTATTCAGTGTTACGGAGAAGTATTCAGTGTTACAGATGTACCACAGTTAGTGTAACCATTCACGCACTGAAGGACATCTGCGTGGTTTCCATTTTTTGGCTATTATGATTAAGGCTAATTGTGCACAGGATTTTGTGTGAACATAGTTTTTGTTTCTCTGGGATGAATGCTCAGGAGTGCATTTGCTGAGTTGTAATTGCAAGTTTAATTTTATAAGAAACTTCAAATAGCTTTTGTAGAGTGGCTGAACCATTTTACATTCCCACCAGCAATGTATGAGTGAGCCAGGTCTCTTCATCTTCACCAAAATTGGCATTGTCACTCTTTATTTCAGCCATTCTGATAGGTGTGTGGTGATATACTGGTTTTAATTTGCTTTTCCCTAATATCTAATGATGTTAAACGTTTTTTTCATGTGCTTATTTGCCATCTGTATATCTTCTTCAATGAAATGTCTATTCATATCCTTTGCTCATTTCTAATTCGATTGTTTATTTTTTTACTATTGAATTTTGAGAGTTCTTTATATCTTCTAGATACTAGTGCTTTATCAGATATGTGGTTTGCAAATGTTTTCTCCCAGTCTGTAGCTTGTTGTTTCATCCTCTAAACAGAGTCTTTTGCAAAGTTTTTTATTTTGATGAGGTACAGTTTGTCAGTTTTTCCATTTTATGGATTGTGCTTTTGGCATCAAGTCTAAGAACTCTTTGCAGAGCCCTGTTTTTTTTTTTTTTCCAAATTTTTTTTTAGTTTTACATTTTACATTTAAGTCCATGATCCATTTTGAGTTAATTTTTGTATAAGGGATGAGGTTTAGGTCAAGGTTCACTTTTTTGTCTCTGGGTATCCAATTGTTCCAGCACCATTTGTTGAAAAGGCTGTTCATGATGTTGTAAGTTGACTATTTCCTTGATGGCACCCAAATATTATCAATAGTCTATCTCCAAACCTCACTGAAAGATGACTTGCTTCTGGAAAAACTCTCTTTCCCATTCACGTAAAGAAGAAATAGAGTGTAAGGGTTAAAAGTTTAGGGTCTGTAGCCAGGGCCCCTGGGTTTGAAAACTAGCTCCATTACTGGCTAAGTAACTTAGTGACTTAAAACAACTATCCGTTTAGGTCACGTGTATTTTGGGCCAGGCTCAGCTGCATGGTGGTTCTGTCTGTGTCAGCTCTTAGATTGGCTCAGGGCTGGTTGTTGGCGACCAGAGGCCTCTGCTGGGTTGGCAGATAATCTCTGTTCCACGCGATCTCTTATCCTCCAGCAGGCTACTCTGCTGTGCATGAGGTACACTGGCCAGGAATTGAACCTGGGTCTTCCACATGGAAGGCGAGAATTCTACCACTGGGTAGCTCTGTGAAATCATCAGGGATTCAGGCTCCTTCTTTCTTTTTGCTGTACAATTCTTAACATGTTTTCCTGTAGTCTACTAAAATGGCTGTTTGAGCTCCAGCCATCATGTCCATGTTCCAAACAGCAGGATGGATGAAGGGAAGAAGGAAGCACTTACTCTGTTTTTAGAGAACTTTCCTAGAAGTCTCACCTAACATTTTCACGTGTATTTTGTCGTACAGCCATGTCTAGCTGATCAAGAAAGGTGGGAAATGTAGTCTTTTGACAAATGGCAGTGTACCCAGCTAAAACTCAGGGATATGATCATTTGTGAGAGAAAGGGTGAGTGAGTCATTTGTGGGACCCGTGAGAAGTGATAAAGGGGTTCTGTGCCTACATTTAGTTCTTACTGCCTTACTTGTGACTTTATGCAGATATCTTTTCAGCTTTTAAATCGAGAATATTGTTTTTTGCCTCCTTAGAGGAGTTTCTGGGTGGCACAAATGGTTAAGCACTCGACTACAATCTGAAAGGTTGGCAGTTCAAACCCACCCAGAGGCACCTTGGAAGAAAGGCCTGGCAGTCTGCTTCCAAAAGATCACAACCTTGAAAACCCTATGAAACACAGTTCTACTCTGCACATATGGGGTCTCTACGAGTCAGAATCGACTCAACAGCAACTGGTTAAAGAAATCTTGTACAGTGTTGCAAGAAGAAGAATCAAGAGGGTATTGTTTAGGGGTAGATGTCCAAAAGGTTAGAAGGAAATATGAATTCAGCATTATGTTTCCCTCAGAAAGCTTCCCAGTTCCTTTTATCATTGTTCCAGGCATCTGGATCCATGCTGCGATGTCAGGGAGAAAAATTGTAGGTGGATTGGTTACGATTTTTTATTATTCATGCTGATAACTTTGCTCTTTGTCATCTTTGCTAGTCAGACTTTCCCTCCATTTATAGTGGTGTGGTTTCTTTAATTTTACTAATAATATATAAAAATAATATGTGTTATACATGCTCAATATCTTATACTATAATAATTTTTAAATAATACTTTTCTTAAATTTTAATAATTTTTCCAATTATGAAAGCAATGCGTTTTTACTGCATAAATTTGGAAAATATGGAAAAGAATGAAGAAGAAAATTTAACTCACCCATAATCCTATCAAGAAATAAAATATTAATGTGTTGATTTATTTTCTTTTTTCCCCTATACATGTAGGCATGTATATGAAACTAACATATCACAAGTATTTTCCTATGTTATTAAAAATTCTAAAACTGTCAGTTTTTCTCCTTTTTTGGACGTTTACTCTGCCACTGATTCTTCCTGCTGTAACTAGCACTCTGATGAACAGCCTTCTGATAAGTCTCCTTGTCCCTATCTTTGATTAGTTTCTTGAAGTAAATTTCTGAACATGAAATTGCTGGGTCAGAAGATGTGCACACCCTGTCCAGAGGTGGGATGAGAAGGCAGAAAGGGATAGGAGCTGGTTGAATGGACATGGGAAACCCGGGGTGGAAAGGGGGAATGTGCTGTCATATTATAGGGATTGCAACTAGGGTCACATAACAATATATATATATAAATTTTTATATGAGAAATTAACTTGAGCTGTAAACTTTCACCTAAAGCACAGTAAATAAAAAAAAGACGTGTACATTTTTAAGACTTTTGATACATTTTGCCAGCACGTTCTTCAGGAAAGACTGTTTAGTTTACACTCTCACCAGCAATGTTTGAATATGCCTGTGACCTGTGTACTAGATATAAACTCCTCCACAATACGAGATAAGCTAGGTATAGCTTCTGATATATTGTTTTTAGTCTGTTAATACTAACAAAGCTATTTTTGGTGGCTGAACTGTTTGCTATCATGCATGCATCTCTATATTGAAATATTAGATTGTTTATTTCATTTTTTCTCCCTTGTATTTGACGTTGGGGGCTACAGATCGTGTCCAGCCTTCAGCTATCAGCCATGTTCGTTCTTGGAGCAACATCCCCTTTATCACCGTCCCTCTCAGTCGTACACATGGCAAGTCCTTTGCCCACCGCAGTGAGCTGAAACATGCTAAGAGAATCGTGGTGAAACTTGGAAGCGCCGTGGTGACCCGAGGGGATGAGTGTGGCTTGGCACTGGGGCGCCTGGCATCTATTGTCGAGCAGGTAATTGCCAAGATGGGAAATTCTACTGAGCCAAAATAAAATAGGGTTTTTACATTATTGGCGCTTCCTTTTTGACTTGTAAAAATAATCTTGATTTTAGTGTGATAGACTTAACCCAATCTGTAAATTCCCTTTTCCTAGTATAGGTGCCAGTGGGATGATGTCCCAGGGCAAGAAAAGAGATGGTCAAGGGGTAGAGTAGATTTCATGTGACTCATTCTTCAGGCTTCTTAGTGATACGGAGATGTATAAGTCAATGGTTCTTAATTATGGCTGCATATTAGAATCCTCTGAAGAGCCTGGAGATGCCTGGGCTTCACACCAGACCATTTAATAAGTATCTCTGGGATGGAGCCCAAGTAGCTGTGATTTTAAAGTTCCCCAGATGACTTTAATATGTAGCCAGAGTTAAATATCCTAATGAATGGATGTAAATATTGAGGGTTTTTTTCTGTTCCTGGTGGGCTTTTTCTTTTTTAATTTAAATTACCCGATGATCTTGAAATAAATATCAGCTGTCATTGCAAAGATTTCCTAAGTGCAAATATTAGAAAGGACTTAACAAGCTCCACAGAGCATCCACATGTGAGATTTTTATTTCAGGACAAAGGATACAATGCAGCAAGAGAGAGTGCAAGCAAGCATTGGCAGTCCAAGAGACATCCTATGAGCAAGCTACCAGGGTCCTTATTCGCACATGAACCACACTCCATTTCCAGATTGAACTGCCAAGATCTGTACAAGCAATTTTGGCTTTGGGATAGCGCAAAGCAGAATTTCCCAGTCAAGTTTTTATGCAGTCAAGCCAGGCTGACTGTAAGCTATCAATAAAGAAACTGACCTAGGGGGTCAGCAGGGGAGTTTTAGACTTTTGGATCACATCATAATCCTACTGCCCTTATCATGGGCAAAAGCAGGGATCAGCAGACTTTTTCTGAAAAGGGCCAGATAGTCAATATTTTAGACTTTGTAGGCCATATAGTCTCTTACTCAACTATTAAGCAGCCACAGACAATACATAAACAAAGCATGCATGCATTCCAATAAACCTTTATTTACAAAAACAGGTAGTAGGCCAGATTTGGCCTTAGGGCTGTAGTTTGCTAACTGTCTGCCAAAAGTAAAAACCCAGGCATCCAGGCATCCCCAAAGATACAGTTTTTCCAGTCTAGCAGTAAATCAACTCTGTCCTTCAGAACCATGTTTCAGGTTTTTGAAATGGCATTCCAGAGGAGTTGGTATTGGGAAATTGCTAACCTGAAACGTGCTGGAATTTTCTTCTTATATTTTCTGTTGTTGTTGTTAGGTACCGTCATGAACAACAGACCGAAACACTGCCCGGTCCTGCATCATCTTCACAATCATTGTTATGCTTGAGTCCATTGTTGCAGCCATTGTAGTAAGCAATTATTATCAAAGTCTGCCTCCCGGATTGAGTCCATTGGGGTCAATGCAATTTAACAAATACTTATCTAGGGGCCACATTGTGGAGGGCATAAAACCTCTGTTATCTCTGCCCTTGGAGGCCAGAACAGACTCCCAAAACAATTAGGTACTTATTCAAGACAATATCTAAATTAGTGGGCCCAAATGATAGTGACTGATGGATCCAAAGATGGGAAAGTCAAATGGGTGTGATTGTTCTTGGGGCATCCTATAAAGAACTAGAACTCAGCCTGGGCCTTGTTGACTGGTAGGCTTTTTGTCAACAGAGAGGAAAGGCTCCACATGGCTAAGCACACAGTATGCGTGGTGCCCTGGAGTTGTACAACCAGTGGTTCTGGGAAAGGGACAGGTTCTGAAAGTAGATTCCAGGTGGGGAACAGAGACAAGAATGAGCATAGCGTGCTGGTGAACCAGGGAGGAGAGTGGAAAAGAAAGTGGATTATTCCGTTTAGGCAGGACTCTGAAGCCAAGTAGTGGAGTTGGGGTTTTATCTCAAAAACAGATTGAAGATTTTGAGTAGAGGAGAAACTTGATGAAAACAGTGGGGAGAACTTGGTAATGGTTTGCTTAGGTTAGCAGTTCCTCTGTTAGCAGTTCCCCTCCTAGCTGTGGACCTAAAGGCTCACTAGATCAGGGCAGAGCCTAATATGCAGAGGCAACCATCTTGCCAAGAATATCTGGATCGTGTTAGATCGAGTTAGGAACTAACTTCAAGTGGCTTCCGCTGGCCAAAGGTGAGACGATTTGAACATCAACAAAGATAATTACTGCAATGAATTTAAACATGTGACATATGCTTAAATCCACAAGCTCATAATGATACTTACCAAAAAAAACTCATTTATCACCTTTGGAGGATACTAAAGGGCCTTTTCATTATTTTGAAAACTGATAAATAAAAGGAAGAAACAAGCATTTGTCTTACTTTTGTATACAAACTGTACATCAGGGTAACCAAATAGTTGATGAAGGAAAGTTTCCCTTTATGGAACTATTCTAGCCTTTAAGTGAAAAGGGAGTGATTGAATTAAAATATCAGCATTTTGCAACTCCTAATGAATTAATAAGGAGCCCTGGTAGCACAGCCTTGGAAGTCCTTATGGGGCAATTCTCTCCTGTAGGGTCGCTATGAGTCAGAGTTGACTTGACAGCAGTGGGTTTTGTTTTGTTTCATTTTAAATGAATTAATGGATCTTGATGATGATCATAACAGCTCCTAACCATCACCAAAAGAGACAACGAGGAATTATGTATCCCCTTATCGGACATGTACAAGACCACCTGAATAGAATTTGGCCAAAAAGTAGATCAAGCCTCTGTATCTAACACCAGTTTACACAAATAGAGAACAGGATTGAACAATACCATAGGGACACAATCAGCAAAATCCAGATTGGGAAACCCTAAAGGGTAAACAACCCAGTTTCGTTAATAAAAAAAAATTGCAGAGGGAAAAAAATGATGGAGGAGGGCCTGAGGATTAAAAGAGACTTAAGAGACACCTCAATTAAATGCAACATATGGGCTTTATGTGCATCTCAATTGAAGCAAGCTAAAAAAAGTGAGAGGACATGTGAACACTGACTGGATATTTACTATTAAAGAATTACTGAACTTTTTTTAGATGATATTGGTCTTATGAATGTATACATATATATCCCGTCTTTTAGAGATTCCTATCGAAACATTTCTAGATGATATGATATGCCTGGGTAGTGCAGATGGTTAAGTGCTCGACTACGAGCCAGAAGATTGGCGGTTTTAACCCACCCAGGGATGCTTCAAGGAAGACAGGCCTAGTGGTCTGCTTCCAAAAGGTCACAGCCTTGAAAACCCTATGGAGCAGTTCTATTCAGCACACATGGGGTCACCATGAGTCAGAATCAACCGGACAGCAACTAACAACAATATGATATGCTTGGGGTCTGGAATTTGCTTTAAAACAATGGGGGAGGTATAGAATGGGTATATTGGAAAGTGGGAGTTTGTCCATGAGTAAATAGTTGCTGAAGTGATGGTAGTGGAGGGTGGTAGTTACATAAGGGTTTATAATACTATTCTCACCACTTTTGTTAAGTATGAAGTTTTCTGTGATAAAAAGTTGTGGGGTTTTATTATTAAATCATGGTTTGTCACAGCTGTTTGTGAGTTCCTGAATCAGGTAGTAGGGTTCAAGCATCAGGTGGACAGGTTGGGAACACTTACTCTATGTGTATCTTGAGTCTTTGCTTCCTTCATATGAATCTGTCCAACATGGGAAACCAAATAGCCACAACTAGTTCCTGGCAAAGAGATCAAAACAGGGACAGGCAAAGAGAGCACGTCCCTGGTCTAGGCAGAGGAGACCCATAGGGATCAAACCGGCCCAGAAACAACCTCATCTACCCAGGTCAAACCTTAGAAACTGAGAAGTCATCTACTAAGTTTACATTGCAGTTCCTCCCTCCACACCTCTGTTACAGAGTCTATTTCATGGAGCAACTAGGCATTCTGCATCACAGACTCCTACAGATACCATCAAGCCCTATGGATCCCAAACCTGGCTACACACTAGAATCCTCTTATTAAGAACTTCTGCTTTTATCTACCACCTACTAAACAGATTTGAGGCAGAAAGTAGGAATCTGTATTTTTACCAAACAACCTGGGTGATTCTTACAGAGCCAGCCAAGTGCTGGTCCACAAACCAGCATTTGGGATCCACTTAACAATGGGCTCAGACATATCAAAAATCCTGGAGATGACTCAGGACTGGGTCGTGTTTGGTTGTTACACATAACATCACCATGAGTCAGAGCCGACTGGATGGCAACAAACATTAGTCCACCCTACTTGGGTTTCTTGTGGAGAAAGGAAAGAGATTATACAGTGACTTCTGGTGCCCTTTCCTTCCTCAATGTCAGGTGTCAGTGCTGCAGAATCAGGGCCGAGAGATGATGCTGGTGACCAGTGGAGCAGTAGCCTTTGGCAAGCAACGCTTGCGCCATGAGATCCTTCTGTCTCAGAGCGTGCGGCAGGCCCTACACTCAGGGCAGAACCAGCTGAAGGAGATGGTGAGTGCTGCTTCCCCCTGCTCTGGAACAGGGGTCCTCAGGCCTCCTTCCCTGTTCCTCACCTCCAACCACACCTTGTCTGATTGGTGTATTACAGGCAATTCCGGTCTTAGAGGCACGAGCCTGCGCAGCCGCCGGACAGAGTGGGCTGATGGCCTTGTATGAGGCCATGTTTACTCAGTACAGCATCTGTGCTGCCCAGGTGAGAGGCTGGGCTTGGTGGGGGGCTGTGGGGACCTGAGAGTGGGTCCCGTGGAGCAAACAGGCTATGAACAGAATTCTGGAGCCAGGCTGCCAGGATACAGTCTTGGCTTCACCACTTGCTAGTTGGGAGAACTGAAGAAAGTCTTTAAATCTAACCTTTTTGTGACTCGGTTTCCTCATATAATAGGGCTAATATCAGTGCCTACTTCAGAGGGTTTTTGGAAGGGCTTAATTAGAAGATAGATGGAAAAAAAGCATTTAATATAATGTCTGATACACAGTACATAGTACATTCTCAATAATTGTTATACTAGTAACTCTTAGAACTACTACAAATGCTAATGCTTATCCTGAAGACAGAAGAGTTAGAGATCTATTTCACCGGCTTTTGTAATCTCAGGTATCTTGCTTCTATTTCAACCTGGTTTCCTTATATAATAGATGTCTATTGAGCATTGAAGGGAAAGAGGAATGCTAGTGTACTGATTTGTTTTTCGTTCATTCGACAAATATTTATCGAGTACCTGTAGTATACCAAGCAGTATGTTAGGTATCAAAGGATACTGTGGTGAACAAATCAAACATGGTTCCTGTTCTCATTGAACTCAAAATTTTTAACAATGACCCCTGAGTGTTCTAGAACCTTCTTCCCCCATTCTTTTTCAATTGTATGTTTAGTTGTCTGTACAGCTGAACACTATAGAAAAACATCTAAATGTCAGTCACTTCACAAAACAAGTGAAAAATCTACCTTCTGTTTCTTCATGATTTTCACAGTTCTCATCCACAGTGATGCTTTGGTATTCTACCAGGGTGTCCTTGAGTAATTGGTTGAAACAGAAAGCCATGAACTAACCCCATTATTAACTGTGGACCCCACTCTCTGTAATGTTATTTTTTGTGTCAGCATAACTGCAATAGAAATGTAGATCTCTGTCACTCTTCTTTCTTATCAGCTATCTTGTCTCAGCCCAATGACAGTTTTAGTCTTTAATTTTTAAAAAATTCTTGGAGCCAGATTAGGATTTTTAGGTCCAGGCTATGCTTTTGTTTTGTGTTGTTTTTCCCCCAGGAACAATGCTTTTTGAGGTTCTTTGGTTTTAGGCTTTTTTTATTATATTAGCATTAAAAAGTTTGTGCACATCAGCCATTGTCTCCATTAATATGGATGTGTAAGAGCTCTGCTCCCCGCAGTTTCCCACAAGCACTAATCCATGGGTCTCTTTCTTTCACATCTGATTTTATCTACAAGAAATCTCTGCCCTTTGCAGCTTTTCCTGTGGTTCCTTATTTTCTTTAATAATCCTGTATAGAAGACCATTATTGGATGCTTTTGGAAATCTTCAGTGAGTTGTTTACCAGGTTAAAGACTTTAGCAAGTATAACAATTTACCTTCTTCTTCATAGAAATGAGACTGATTTGTGTCTCAACAGATTGCCCTTCTCCAAGCATATACTTTTCTGTCTTGGGCTCTGTCTCCTACCTTTGTGGTCAGATCCTTATCCCTTGTTTGTTAAAAGGTATTTTCACTGGACCTTTAGACCTCCTGCCTGCCTTTCCTACAAAGTTGTGTTTGCTTTTATTATTGGATCTGTCACCATAACTAGAATCTGTTATGTTCAGCCTAGTCCTAGTCTTATTTCCTACAGACTAAACTTGTCTGGAAAAAGAGCCCATGGCCTTCTCTAACAAAAATGGGCCCCATTCCATCTTCCTCTAAACCATCAACATTTTTAATCTCCATCCCAGCAGCTAGTACAAGGACCGACAGCTCATAGGTACATAATGACCTTTTTTGTCAGATGGGTAAATGAGTGAATTATTTCCCTCTGTCATGTTACTTCTGTCTTCCTCACCCACATTTTATCTGCTATTAAGGCTGCTGTTTTATCTTTCATAGTATTGCTGTTTTCTTCTCAGTCACCATAATCAGACCCTAGTCCAGCCTTAACCACCCCCACTTTGACTGTTTGTTCTTGACCACCCCTCTTCAACCTGCCCTACTTCAGCCTGCTCTACATAGCAACAACCCTTAAGCATCAGAGAGATTACATTAAAGCATTTATTCATGTGCTTCAGGAATTCTTACCATTTAGTTTTTTGCTGTCATCCCCGTTAATTTTCTCTTCTGCTCAACGTTGCCCAGTATTCTTGATGCAAGCAAGAAAGCAGAGCTATTTACCACTCCTATGCCCAACTCTCCGCTCGACCTTTGAGCAGCCTATGCTCATCCGCTCCTCTGATCTAAGTTACTTTTAGCTGTTTTTTCAGCTTGTGACACAAGACTTACCTCTGTAAGCCTCCAGACGAGTCCCACATGCTCAGACACGGTCTTTTTTAACTCTAGTAGTGGTCTGCTTCAGAGCAAGAACAGTGACAACTGGCCCTGTACCATTTTGTCTAATACCTTTTCCCAAGCAGGATAAAGCATTTGTTCACTCACTCACCAAATATTTAAGTGCCTACAATGGCGAGGCCTTGAATCAGATGCTAGGATACAGGGCTATTTTAGAAATTAATGGACAGCCATTAATTCCTGCGATATCCCTCGAAAGTAGGGATTAATTAATTTTCTTAATTTTGCAAATAGATAAGATTTGGTAGCTGTCTGAGGGTTAAAGTACTTTTGCAAGAAGTCTTGAACATCTTTAAAGAAATCATCCATGTGATTCTAACTTTTTTTTTTTTTAATCTCTAGAAGAATTGAGTAAGTACCCAAAGATGTGTATTCCATTCCTATCTGTGTGGAGTCCCAGAAGCCTAAAGTTTGACCCCCTAGTCTTAGCATCTTTTGTATGCTTTCCTGGGAAGTTCACTATTTACGCCTGTTCCTGTGTTTTGGGTCTGTTTAATCGTTTTAGATTTTGGTGACCAATCTAGATTTCCATGATGAGCAAAAGCGCCGGAACCTCAATGGGACACTTCATGAGCTCCTCCGAATGAACATCGTGCCAATTGTCAACACAAATGATGCTGTTGTACCCCCAGCTGAGCCCAATAGTGACCTCCAGGGGGTAAATGTGGGTGAAGTATTCCTAAGGGTTTAGCATGCTGGAGACACTAATGCCGTGCTGTGCTGCATGTACTAACACCAGAAGTTTGGCATAAATAAGATGGAGAGATAGGAGAGAAGCTGGCGTTATGGAGCAGTGGCTGCATAAGCTCTTCTGAAGTCAGGGGGATGCATTCAAAAGGGTAAGGTGCTGTAGTGCTTTGGGATGGTGCTGCTGTGAGCATGGCTTGTATACGTGAGCGAGTAGAAGGCTGCATATTTGGAAAAGTGGTTGCAGTGGGCATTGTATTTTGCAGGCAGAAGGGGCCTAAAAGAGCTGCCATCCATATATTCAGAGTCACTGGTTTTGCCTGCTGCAGCCTAGCTAAGTGCTTCTGTGAATTTCTCTTTGGACTGTATACAGCTCACTTATTTATGACTTTTTACCCACTTTCCAGGTCATTAGTGTTAAAGATAATGATAGCCTGGCTGCCCGTCTGGCCGTGGAAATGAAAACTGACCTCTTGATTGTTCTTTCAGATGTAGAAGGTACAAAATAATGCCTTTTTCTTTTAAATGCTACATGTGTTGGCACGTGAGTTTTCCTCCTTGTTTGAGTTCTCCTTTTTTTCACTATGGACCATTATTAATTTCTGACACATACGGTCTGACAAAGGGTTTTTATGACTCAGTGTGGGCGAGTCTAGGAGATGCAGTTTGGATGCGGAAATGTTATTTCTAGGCACTTTCCTTTTTTTTTTTTTTTTTTTAATAGCTTTATTGAGATATAATTCACATACTATACAATTCACCTATTTAAAGTGTACAATTCAGTGATTTCTAGTATGTTCACAAAGTTGTGGAACCATCTCTATCAATTTTAGGACATTTTCTTCATCCAACAAGAACTATACCCGTAGCAGTCACTGCCCGCTAGGCAATGACCAAACTACTTTCTGTCTCTATGGATTTCCCTATTCTGGACATTTCATACAAATGGAATCATACAATATGTGGTCCTTTGTGACTGGCTTCTTTCACTCAGCATAGTGTTTTCAAGATTCATCCATGTTGTAGCATATATCCGTACTTCATTTCAGTTTATTCTGAATAATATTCTATTGTATGGATATACTTCGAACATTTGTGTACAAGATTTTATGTGGAGATAGGTTTTTATTTCACCTGAGACTGAGAGTGGGGTTGCTGGGTCATATGGTGGCTATGTTTAGCCTTTTGGGGAACTGCCATGCTGTTTGCCATTGTGGCTATATCATTTTACATTCCCACGAACAGTGTATGAGAGTTCCATTTTCTCCACATCCTTATCAACGCTTGTTATTATCTACCTCTTTAAATTTTAGCCATCATCGTGGGTGTGAAGTAATATCTCATTGTGGTTTTAATCACTTTCAATTTTTAATGTAAATCGTTGTTACTAGGTGCCATCGAGTTGGTTCCAACCAACCCACACCCACCCTATGTACAATAGAATGAAACACTGCCTGGTCCTGCATCATCCTCACAATTGTTGCTCTACGTGAGCCCATTGTTGCAGCCACTGTGTCAGTACATCTCCTTGAGGGTCTTCCTCTTTTTCACTGACCCTCTCCTTTACCAAGCATGATGTCCTTCTCCAGGGACTGACCCCTCCTGGTAACGCGTCCAAAGTACATGAGACAGAGTCTCGCCATCCCCTCTTCTAAAGAGCATTCTGGCTATTCATCTTCCAAGACAAGTTTGTTCGTTCTTCTCGCACTCCATAGTATATTCAGTATTCTTCACCAACACCATAATTCAAAGGCTTCAGTTCTTCTTTGGTCTTCCTTATTCATTGTCGAGCTTTTGCTTGCATATGAGACAATTGGAAATACCATGGCTTTGGTCAGGTGCACTTTAGTCCTTAAAGTGACAACTTTGCTTTTTAACACTTTGAAGGAGATCTTTTGCCACAGATTTGCCCAATGCAATACATCATTTGATTTCTTGACTGCTCCTTCCATGGGCATTGATTGTGGATCCAAGTAAGATGAAATCCTTGACAACTTCAGTATTTTCTCTGTTTATCATGATGTTGCTTATTGGTCCATTTGTGAGGATTTTTTGTTTCTTTACGTTGAGGTGTAATCCATAGTGAAGGCTGTAGTCTTTGATCTTCATCATAAGTGCTTCAAGTCCTCTTCACTTTCAGCAAGCAAGGTTGTGTCATCTGCATATCGCAGGTTGTTAATGAGTCTTCCTCCAATCCAGCTTCTGGGATTATTTGCTCAGCATACAGATTGAATAAGTATGGTGAAACAATACAGCCCTGACGCACACCTTTCCTGACTTTAAACCATGCAGTATCCCCTTGTTCTGTTTGAATGACTGCCTCACGGTCTACGTACAGGCTCTTCATAAGCACGATTAAATGTTCTGGAATTCCCATTCTTCACAATGTTATCCATAATTTGTCATGATCCACACAGTGGAATGCCTTTGCATAGTCAATAAATCACAGGTAAACATCTTCCTGGTATTCTCTGCTTTCAGCCAAGATCCACCTGACATGAGCAGTGATACTCCTCATTCCACATCCTCTTCTGAATCTGGCTTGAATATCTAGCAGCTCCCTATCAATGTACTGCTGCAACCACTTTTGAATGGTCTTCAGAAAAATTTTACTTGCATGTGATATTAATGATATTGTTTGATAATTTCCACCTTCTGTTGGATCGTTTTTCTTTGGAATGGGCAGAAATATGGATCTCTTCTAGTCAGTGGGCTGTCTTCCAAATTTCTTGGCATAAGACGAGTGAGCACCTCCAGCGCTGCATCCGTTTGTTGAAACGACTGAATTGGTATTCCATCAATTCCTGGAATCTTGTTTTTTGCCAGTGCCTTCAGTGTGGCTTAGACTTCATCCTTCAGTACCATCAACTCTTGATTGTATGCTGCCTCCTAAGATGATTGAATGTCCATCAGTTCTTTTGGTATAGTAACTTTGTATCCTTTCCATCATCTTTTGATGCTTCCTGCGTCATTCAGTATTTTGTCCATAGAGTTCTTCAGTATAGCAACTCAAAGCTTTAATTTCTTCTTCAATTCTTTCATCTTGAGAAATGCTGAGCGTGTTCTTCCCTTTGGTTTTCTAACTCCAGGTCTTTGCACATTTCATTATAATACTTTACTTTGTCTTCTCGAGCCTCCCTTTGAAATCTTCTGTTCAGCTCTTTTACTTCATCATTTCTTCTATTCACTTTAGCTACTTTACATTCAATAGCAAGTTTCAGAGTCTCTTCTGACATCCATTTTGGTCTTCTCTTTCCTTCCTGTCTTTTTAAGGACCTCTTGCTTTCTTCATGTTTGATGTCCTTGATGTCATTCCACAACTCATCTGGTCTTCAGTCATTAGTGTTCATTGCATCAAATCTGTTCTTGATATGGTCTCTAAATTTAGGTGGGATCTACTCAAGGTCATACTTTGGCTCTTGTAGACTTGTTTTAATTTTCTTCAGCTTCAAGTTGAACTTCCATATGAGCAATTGATGGCCTGTTCCTGGCCTTGTTCTACTGATGATGTCGAGCTTCTCCGTCATCTCTTTCCACAGATGTAGTCGATTTGATTCCTGTGTATTCCATCTGGCAAGATCCATGTGTATAGTTGCCGTTTGTGTTGTTGAAAAAAGTTATTTGCAGTGAATAAGTCGTTGGTCTTGAAAAATTCTATCATGCAATCCAGCATCATTTCAATCACCAAGGCTATATTTTCTAACTACCGATCCTTTTTCTTTGTTTCCAACTTCTGCATTCCAATCAGCAATAATTATCAATGCATCTTGATTGCATGTTTGCTCAATTTCAGACTGCAGAAGTTAATAAAAATCTTTTATTTCTTCACCTTTAAAAGCCTTAGTGGTTGGTGCATGAATTTGAATAATAGCCATCTTAACTGGTCTTCCTTGCAGGCATATGGATATTATCGTATCACTGACAGCATTGTACTTCGGGATAGATCTTGAAATGTTCTTTTTGGTGGCGAATACAATGCATTCCTCTTCAATTTGTCACTCATGGCATAATAGACCATATGATTATCCAATTCAAAGTGGCCAATACCAGTCCATTTCAGCTCACTAATGCCTAGGGTATCAGTCTTTATGTGTTCCATTTCAAAATGTAGATCATAGGATATATTATTTTAAACTGGAGTCACTGCAGAAAATCCAGGCTGTATGGCCACCATAGCCTTATATATTACTCTGTTCTTCTCTGTGTTTATTTCCTCATGGAGGGGCCCCTGTTGGCTCAAGTTTGGCTCTTTATTCACTCTCCTCACTTTCTTAAGTTGTTCCCATTTCACAGTTCTACCCATAAAGAATATGGTAGGTGTGTCCAGAATAGGCCAAGCCTCCAGGATCCAAAACATCCCCCATTACATTCCTAGGAGGTCAGAAAAACTTATTTCCTAGCCTACACTCAAGGCAGGTTAACATGGCAGGGCTTGTTCTCTGTTTTATACCCCAGCAGTTTAAGTTGAGGACAGTGAGCTGCCTAGATGAGGCAGGGACAGACGTGGATGAATTAATCTGTCTTCTGCCCATGGGGAAAATCAGAGACTTCATACCTCTTTGTCAGTATCTTTACCTCTAAGAAGTCTTAGTACCGTGCTTATACATTCTAATTTGAAGTTTTAGAATAGGAGCGATTAAGTTGGGGTAAGTGTGAGCTACCCCAAAGAAGGCATTTCAGTTAACAGATTTTTACTGAATTTCTGCTATGCGGCAATATTGTGCTAAGTGCTTTACAGATGTCACTTTATTTAATCCTTGTGGCATCTCTGCAAGGTAGGTAGGTTAGCCCAGTTATACAAATGAAGAAATTAAGTTCAGATCACTAAACGGTATATACAAAGTTATATAGCTAGTACTTGGCAGAGGCTATTTTCAAATCTAGGTCTGTCTAATTTTAAAATCCACACTCTTCCTTTTCACCTCTACTGCCCAGCAAGGGAAAGGATGTGAGTCAGGGACATAAACTTGTAAAACCTAATTTGAAATACACTCTAGTAAACTCTAGTTTTAATGTGGCTTTGGTCATTGGTAGGCTTGAGCTGTCACTGTGATTAATTAGTTTATTAGTTAATTAATTAGTTATCCACTGAGTGTTGATTTCTAGAAAAACATCAGAATTTTAAATATGTTCTTGGTGGGTTTGAGAAGCTGCTGTAAGGGAGAAAGAGGAGTAGGCAGAATATCAGAATGCTAGGAATCCCTTGATGTCTCTGGGGAATTTGGGTTTGGGGTTGTCCAGCCTTCTGCTGTGTGAAATTAAAACAGCCTCACAATTCAATCCTGCGATCTCATAGTGTTCAAGCTTCTGGGAAGGACCCAGTTGTCAATCTTAGGAGGGCTGTAGGTAGACAGAGATTGTGAGAGGTTATTCTTCGTCTCCTGTAATTGCTGGTCTTGGTTTGTGCTGTTTTATTCTATACTAGACACTGATTTCCTCACTCCCCTTATTCTTTTACTCCCCCAGAAAGGTTGGGTACAGTAGGGTTGTATTAAAGATTTAGAATTAATAGAGGGGATGGTTATATTGCAGCAGAGGACAAGCAGTAACTTAAAACCAAATGTAGGACATCACGGCCCAAAATGTCCTTCAGCTAGTCCCCAACCACAAGGAGTTTCTCCCTGTCTGTCTTACTTAGGTCTTGACATGACTTCATTTCCTTGAGCCCCCCTCCTCCCCCTCGTTTCACCTTCCAAGGCTCCTGCTTTCTCTTTTTCAAAGTGAAATTTTGAGTTTTTCATCTTGAATTGTATGCATATAACATTCCACATTACTCTATTTTGCATCACTCTGCTCAGTTATAAAAGGGACACATATGCTTTATGGTGATAAATCCAGACTGAATGCCAAGAGTCATGAGCTCTCCTGCTAACTCAGCTTAACCTTCACAGAGACTCACCCATAAAATGGGGAGTTTAAATTAGTGGCTGTTTCAGAGGGTTAATGACTACCTGTCTCACATTTCATCTTTCTTGGAAATAGTCCCATTAAGCCATATATGGCTGCTGCGCTGTTTCTGTAGTAGCTCCTGTGCCTTTTCAGTAGTCCCGGGGGCTACGGGCCAGGCTAATACCGTTTGTGCCAAGGATATGGCCATGCTCTGATGAGGGAACACATTCATCTATGAAGCCAGGTTATGTAAGTGTGTGAGGTGAGCTTTTCTAGAGCTGTTTTGGTGTGGGTGGACTCCACTGATCCCTGTTCTCTTGTCTGCTCAGAGCTCTTAGTACAGCAGAGTTCAGCTGGGGAGGAAAGTACAGAGTGGTTGGAGAGGCCCAGGGAGGCCTATCTGGGGACATACTCCCCTCCATTAAAGCAGCATCAGTGACTCGTATCTTCTTTTTTAGGCCTCTTTGACAGCCCCCCAGGGTCAGATGATGCAAAACTCATTGATATCTTTTACCCTGGAGATCAGCAGTCTGTGACTTTTGGAACCAAGTCTAGAGTGGGAATGGGTGGCATGGAAGCCAAGGTAAGGACCAGGTACTTTCACTGCCTGTAACAATTGTGAAGCCCAAACAACATTTGGCCCTTTCGTTTCAGTAATTGTGTGGGAGTCAATGGTTCAGATAGAGGTACATTTAAATATGCATATATCTAAATACAGGTTTAATGAGTATTATATACCTACATTTAGTCATGTTTGCATATGCAGTCTTTTTATTAATATTATGTAAACAGTACATTTATATTGTGAACTCCTTAAGGGCAGGGCCTATATAGCTTTCATAATTTGTAAATCCTCTAATGTTTTCAGCTCAAATATTTCTTAATAGAATCTTTCAAAAAATTTTTTCTTCATTAATTTTTCCAAGTAGTTATATCTTTAAGGTACAGCATCATAAGTAGCATGGGCAGAGATAAGGATAACTTGCTAGCCCGGGGCAGGGGCGGTCAGCACAAAAGGAGATAAAAGGACAGACCCAGAAAAGGAAGTTCACAAGAGCCCCGTTTAAACAAGCTAAAAGCACTTAGGATCAGACTCGGTCAAAAACCACGCTGGATACTGAAATGCTTCTAAGTTGAGGCATAATAAGGAAAATATGGAAGTTATGAGTCCCAGTACTAGAGAGTCTTGAAGAGAGAACATGCTTAGAACTAAGAATAGATTGGTTAGTCTTTAGGCAACACCTGCCATAGTTGGACTGTGTATTGGAAGAGTACGTGGTCTGAGCCTGTTTTCAGAGCTTCTAAGCAATTGAAAACATTCCTCATATGCTTAATTGCCCAATATCAAACTGTATTTTATATCTTTTTGAAAGTTTCAAGTGCAGGTGACTAGACCCTGCAGAGATCTGAATCTCCTCTTTGGATTTGACCTGTCTAGGTGAAGGCAGCCCTCTGGGCTTTGCAAGGTGGCACTTCCGTTGTTATTGCCAACGGAACCCACCCAAAGGTGTCTGGACACGTCATCACAGACATTGTGGAAGGAAAGAAAGTTGGGACCTTCTTTTCAGAAGTCAAGCCTGCAGGTAAGTAGGTCTTCATAAGGTCTCATGGCCTGTGGTGTCCCATGGCTAGTGACACCACAGTCTAGATAGGACTGAAGACCCAGCTCTCACTCTGGGAACATAGATCACAAAACTGATGTACTAATATTATGAAATATTGTATTGCTTTTGAATATTATTTGCAAAATTGGATTTTACTTGGCTTTGGTAAAGTTTTATCTAACCTGTCTAGCTAGGTCTCCTGTTCTCTCCAGAATCACTGGGTTAAGGTTAAAGACATTCATTTTCTCAAGAAATATTTGCTTGGCCCATGCTGGACGCCAGGTACTAATTAGCGCTAGAGATACAAAGGTGAATAAGACACTTTAATTATCATTTATAATAACTGCATCGTAGCCCACTGTTTGAATTTTTAGGTGGCGTCTGTGCTCTCAGGTGTTCACAATGGACAGAATTGCCTTATAATCTGCACTCAGAAATGCAAATAAATTTAAAAAGATAAGCCAAAGAAGAATTGAAAAGACCTGTAGAAGATGTATATTATAGAGCCTAGAAATGCAAGAAGTTATGTTTATGCCTGAGATATTCTTTACCATTTCACTGCTCAAAGTGATCTCCATTTGTGAAACAAGCATCACAAGACATGCGCAGTCCTTCTGTGCACCTGATGAGCATGTACACATGCTGGGATTGTGAGAGAGAACTAAGCTGACTGTGATGTGATGTTTGCAAATGTTCTTGCAGGTCCTACCATTGAACAGCAGGGAGAAATGGCTCGGTCTGGAGGAAGGATGTTGGCCACTTTGGAACCTGAGCAGGTAATAACCTCCTCTCGTAGCTTTATTATAGTTTCCAGAGCGAGTCATGCTGTGCTGACAGATCCAACATGAGCAGTTCAGTGCAGTAGCCCAGCCTGCCGACTCCCGCTCTATCCCTAGTATTCCACACTTATCCTGAGTTGCAAGTCTGATTCAAATACGCTGAACCTTTTTTCTTCTGTTAAATTTTATTTTCCCTTTTGTCTTTGGTAGGCTGAGGCCTACTAACTTTCCATCATTATGATGTTTTGATCAAAAGCATCATGGAAATGATGAGACCAGGGAGGCTACCTAATCCTGCCACATACTCGGCATGGAAATGTAGGAAAACTACTGATTCCAACCCATTACAAATCACCTAACTTACCTATAAGATGGAAGCTCGTGAGCCCACCCCTGCCTACATGAATTAGTCAGTCTAAACAGCAGACGTGAGGAGGCTGGAGACAGTGAGGAGGTCAGGATTGAAGCTGGGTGCTTGGTTCCCAAGGATCATGATGCTAAGTATGGGCTTGACATTGATGTATATAGGTTTATGCTGGGGAATTCTTTGGACTGAGAAAGGAAAAGAGAATTTAAAATAGCCACAAGCAGAGAAAGGAAAGTAAAGGAGAAGCCTAGTTTCTCTTTCTCAAACCACTTCCTTCTACTCCTTCAGCACTTGCCACACTAATCTAGGTGGGTAAGGATTGGTGTCTCCTCAGGTGTCCAGAACTGGATCTTCCCCTTGATGATCGTTAAATAAATAATCATCAGAAAATAAAAACTAGATGCGAAAATGTATCTGGGACGTAAACTGTATAGCTAGTGATACTAAATATTGGAGGGTGTGTGCATCCTGCTGATTCAGAGTACTGGCCCCTGTCTCCTGGGCAAACTGTAATTCATTATCCCCCCACCCCTCACTGGGCTGTGATTTGCTAATTATAATAATCAGGAGTGGTAAAAGAGGAGGAAAAGTAAGAAGAAATGAGGGAAGGTTACCAGTGAGAAAGAGAAAAGAAAAACTGAGGGGAACTGTGGTGGAATAGGAAGGAGGTTTTAATCCATGGTGACCTTGGATTTAGGAGCAAGGTCTGTCATTCTCAGAAGAGCAGGTTTAAAAAAGTGTGATGTGCATTCTTCTCGGATTAGCGTGTTTGTGTGTGTGTTTGTTTTAACACTTTGCCTTTCCTCCTAGAGGGCAGAAATTATTCATCATCTGGCTGATCTCCTGATGGACCAGCGGGACGAGATCCTGTTAGCTAACAAAAAAGACCTGGAGGAGGCAGAGGGTAAAGATGACCAGGCTATTTGAAGTCATTGTTATGGAGGGATTTTGTTTTGTTTTTACTAATAATTCTTAACATCATAATCTGCCAAAAGGCAAGATTGTTATAGAAAAAATTGTGTATTATGCATCATTTTTATTGAGAGTGTATGGCTAGTGTTAGTTGCGCTTTTTCAAACTATACATACGTCCCCACCCCATATATTCTAATACAACCCCCCAAAGGGGTTTTCTCCATTCCCCTCAGGTCATGAGCCATGGTTACTATGGCAATTTCAGGACCAAAAAAACAAAAGACTGATAACCCTACTGCTTCAGAAATTCAGCTAATAACAGCTAATATTTGTTGAGCCCTTTCTCTTTACAACATTATACCTGTGAGGTTGTTGTTAGTTGCCATGGAGTTGATTCTGACTGATGGCAACCTGTGCAGAGTAGAACTGCTCTATAGCATTTTCAAGGCTGTGACCTTTCAGAGGCAAATCGCCAGGCCTGTCTGGTAGGTTCAAATTGCCAGCCTTTCAGCTAGTAGTCAAGCACTTAACCATTTGTGCCACCCAGGGACTCCACCTATGAGGTAGCTACTATTACTATTCCCCTTTTACAGATGAGGAACCTGAGGCTCAGAGAAGTTATCACTTACCGTATGGCCAGTGATGGACCAAGGATTCAAACCCAGATGGATTGTGTGTATAAAAGAGTTGTAGGAATAGTTTTTGCAGGATGTGATGAAAGATAGCTTGTCTCTTAAGTTAATTGATTAGTGTGAAGTCTACCCAGAGTTAGCAAAAGGTGCTATATGGAAGTGCCTTTGAGGTGCTAATGATAGTATGAGTGAGATGGCTGAACTCACATCAAGGCAACTAAATATATAGAGTCAGGTTGTTCTTGTTGTTAGGTGCCGTTGAGTCAGGTAGGCCCTCATTTATTCTCTTTTCCTAATTCCACCTTAAAATAATGGCGTTGGTTTTATGGAATTTTGAATTTTTTTTCTATTGAATAAATGCACCTTAAACATCCAGATTAGTAGATGTCCAAAGAAACACTGCAAGGCTTCACTGAAACCTTGTAAGGCTCATCAGCATTACTTTAAATTCTTGAAACATTTTTGCAACAGTTGATTTGGAACTCCTTTTAGACTTTACATCTAGTCTTGAATTTTTGCAGTATTATAAAGTCATAAATAGAGTTTCAGAAATGGAAGAAATCCTTGATATCCAATTCTTTAAAGGTAAAAGCATTGAGACTCACAGAGATTAAAGTTGTTGTTTAGAGTCATACAGCTAGTTGTTGACAGAACTCTTTGACTTCTGATCCCAGTTATATCTCTCTGGAAATACACAAAGATATACAGTGGACTTAAGAACAAACTGCTGGGTGTACATAAGCATGGTAATCCCCTTTAATCCCATTTCTGGGAATTTATTGTAAGAAAATATTTCAAGAGGAGAAAACAGCTCTGTATATTAAAATTCTTGGAGCAGGATTATATATCACACTGAAAAACTAGAAACAATCTGAGTATCTAATCACATAGGTGTGGTTGAGTGCATTAAGCAGTATCAACTCAATGGAATATTTAGTAGTAATTAAAATGATAATTGCTGCAACATGAAAAACTTACATGAATTGTTAGACAAAAAGCTAGAGTGTAACATTTACACTATAATTAAAACTTGATTAAAATGCACATGGGGAAAAATAAGGAAAATTAATTAGCTGATGTAATTGATTGGTGATGATGGATTTCATTTTTTTCTTAGTGTAAAGTTGGTTCCTCCCCTTAAAAACAGGAATCTTTTCATTATTTTATCTTGGTGGGTGTGATTATTAAAAAGAAAGGAAAATTTTCCAAAATCTCACCTCAACATTAACTGTAGTCAGGATTGTGGTATGTGATGCCCAATGGCTTTTCTGGGCTTATGTACATGTACATGTATGAATACGTGTGTGTATACAGAGAAAGAATCATGTCGTATGTATTATTTAAGTTTAAATAAGATTCTATATATGTGAACTTACCATAATTCTATTTAAATATTTACTTCAGAAGAAAACTTCTTTACTGCTTGTGATTATAAAAATAATTCACTCATTACAGCTTACAAACAAAGATGTGAATTTATTAAAAGTCAAAGGTTGGAAAAAAATATATCAAGCCAACAACTACCAAAAAAGAGCAGGACTGACAATTCTAATCTCAGATAAAATAGACTTTAAAATGAAATTTACCATAAAAGACAAAGAAGGACACTATGTAATGATTAAGGGGACAATCCGTCATGAAGACATAACCACAATAAACATCTACGCACCCAATCATAGGGCTCCAAAATACATAAAACAAATTCTAACAACACTGAAAAGAGAAATTGACGTTCCACAATAATAGTAGGAGACTTCAACACACCACTCTCAGTAAAGGACAGAACAACTAAGAAGAAACTCAGCAAAGATACAGAAGATCTAAAGGGCACAATCAGCCAACTTGACCTCATAGACATATATAGAACACTCCATCCAACCGCTGCAAAGTACACATTCTTTTCCAATGCACATGGAA